GTGACACAAGCTCAGCATGTCAATCGCCAAGTCAAAATTCGTGAGACTACTCATACAGCACCAATTTGAAAACTGCCCACTTTCTTTTGCTCGCCAGTATATATATAATATATATATTGTATTGGCAGCCGGGGCACATCTGTCGGATACGATACACATAAGTAGAATATGCGGCACACGGGTCTATTATCTTTTTTATGTAACACAATACTTGAGTAGAATATTTAATACAAAACAGGTGCGTCTATTCGATTTGACACACGGAAGTAAAATGGGCTTTGTAAGGGGGGGGGTAAATGGGTATATCATTTTAACACATTTTAACAATAACACATTAGCGTTCTGTGTGGAATGTTCACAGAAACGGGACAAAATGTTAGAAAATCGCTACGGTACCTCAGAATAAAAAATTATATCCGACATTCTTGGCCGTTTTTAGTTACTAAGACCATGTGGTTCAATCTGCTCTATCAAACTCGTAAGATTATTTGGGGTCGTTACCAAGATATCAAAAGAATTGAATTCGAAAAAGCTTGACAATACATGAAACTCAAAATTTTTTACGTCAAATTTCTCAAAACTAAGTACTGAGCAGATAGAACTTTATAAACTTCTGAGGTATCGAAATGCAGATGCTGAGGATAGTTCCATACGGTGACGTCGGTGGCCCAGTGGTTAGGCTACCGATTCCTAATCGTGAGGTTGCAAGTTCGGGGGTTCGAGCCGCGGGCCCGACGATGTGTCCTTGCAAAAGGCACTTTACAATAATGTTTCTCTCTTCACCCAGGTGGGAATGTGTGCCCGGCCATAGACAGCGAAAGGTCTTGTCAGTATGTTAGTGTTTTAGCGCCTATAAAAGGCCGCTTGCACTGTATGCTTCCTGGGAAGTTAAGGTTGTTTCAGGATGCTCTAGGGTCTGCTGGGGTAATAGTATAGATTGTGAAGCGCATAGTTCTTGCTGTTGAGCGGGGATTTGCGCTATACAAAAGCTATATATCTATCTATCTATCTATTAT